TGGTCCCTGACTTGCATTATTTCTGCAGTTCTGTTTCCCTGATCATCACCAAGCAACCAGAACTTTTGTCAGTGGAACTGGATATTACAAAGACCTCACAGTTTCAAGGGAATAGGTGCACCAGGACTGAGCTGCATGGTTTAAATGATTCAGATGTTCACTACTGTGCACTTAGACCTGCCTAGACACTCAATGTGTGGAAGGTGAGACTCAAAGTGAGAAATTCAGATCAAAAAAAGGAAACAAAAGGAAAAAGGACAAAAAGGCAGAAAGACAAAACAATAAAAAGGGGAAAAAATTTTAAAAAGGTAAAATACAAAAAAAGAGAACCATGTGGTTCCCTAGTGCAAAAGAGTCAAGGCTAGGCCCACCTCAGATGCACGTGGATTCTGAGATTAGCAAGAGAAAGGAGAGATCAGAGATAAGAGAGAGGTTTTTTTTTTTAATCTATAAAAGAGAAAACTTTTGAGAGAAGGGGAGAGGGAGTGAGAGAGACAGAGACAGAAAGAAGACAGAGACCACCTTACCTGGCTTTTCCCTGGGTGTTGAGCCAGAAGAGGTTTGGGGCAGAGGCTTACAGGTTAAAGGGGCAGGGCTAGGCCCTCCTCAGATGCAGGTGGATTCTGGCTTTTCACTGGGTGTTGGGCCAGAAGCACCTATGTCCATTTCTTTCTCTTTGTAAAATATAACAACCTGCCAAAATTAAAGTAATTCAGGCAGTGAAAAATTTAATTACTATTTAATTTTAATACTGGTGATATTGAAGTTACATTTAAAGGGTACCTCTTAATATTTGACTGGCATCACAGTCAGTGTAGGCTTTGAAGGACAAACCAGAAAATAATCCCAGATCTCAGCATATTCACGTTAGAAAAAAGAAATTTAGTAGACCCAAACCAAAGACTTACCATAAAATAAAGAAATATTTTGAACATACTTTCCTTTACAGTTTGTTTGCAATATTTTCATGGTTATATTTTCAGATGAATTTCTCTAGCCTTTATTATTATTATTATTTTGTTTTGGTAGAGAGGTTTTTTGCTAAAGGGCGTGTGTGCTAACCAGAGAGACAGAGAGAAACAGAGAGACAGAAAGGGAGGAATCATGCCACCCATTTTCTTCTCAGGATTTTGGGTACACAGACACAGGTGCCCAGCGTGAGATTTAAGCCACCACGTCCGGGACTCAAACCACAGTTGATTATGTGGGAGTCCAGCAACGTGACCATTATGCCATCTGCTGGTACCTCCTTAGCCTCTTTTTAAGTTTGAGGGGGAAAAAACATTTTTTGGTGTTTTAATTAACTTGACATTGAATTTTTTGATAATTTTTTACTGTATTGCTGCTTCCAATCCAAAAGCATGTATTTTCTACTTTATTTTTTTCTCTTTTTCCATAGTTTAAATTTTTTTCCATTTTGATTGTGCAGTGAATTTGTGTCTGTGATTTTCCTTTTATCATTTTTTTTTCTTTTTTTGGAGAGATTTTTGCTATAGGGTGCATGCGCTTGCGAAACAGACAGAGACAGACAGAAAGCGAGAAATCACCCCCCAGGGGGGATGGCCATGCTGCAATCCCTTCTCCTCCATTCTCCTCTCGGGATCTTGGGCACGCACGCACACGCACCCGGAGTGAGTTTAAGCCACCAGGTCCGGGACTCGAACCGTGGTCGACTACGTGGGAGTCCAGCGACATAGCCATTACACTAACTGCTGGTCCCCCTTTCATCATTTTTTACTAGCTCTTGAAAAATGAGCCTTTGGGACTAGCAGATGGCGTAGTGGTTACATTGCTGGACTCCCACTTGGCCGACCACAGTTCGAGTCCTGTATCTGGTGCTTGAAAATCACACCAGGCACATGTGTGCGCATGCCCAAGTTCCTGGGAGGAGAAAGAATTGTAGCATGGCCATCCATCCCCTTGGGGGCTGGATCATGATTTTTCACTTTCCCTCTCACTGTCTCTATCTCTCCTCTTGGTTGAGCATATGTGCCCTAAAGCAAAACCTTCAAGAAAAAAAAAAGAAGAAAAAGAAAAGGATGCCTTTTATTTTTACTTAAAATAACAGAGCAGTTAATTTTTATTAACTTCTCTTTAAAATCTTCATCCATTCTTTTATAGTAAAAGAGAAATAATGCCTAGTCATTTTATATTACTTACACATGGCAATGCCAAAAATAACTTCAAAGTCGGGAACCAGCAGTTAGTGTAATGGCTATGTTGCTGGACTCCCACGTAGTCGACCGCGGTTCGTGTCCCGGACCCGGTGGCTTAAAACTCACGCCGGGCACGTGTGCGTGCATGCCCAAGATCCCGAGAGGAGAATGGAGGAGAAGGGATTGCGGCGTGACCATCCCCCCTGGGGGATGATTTCTCGCTTTCTGTCTCTATGTCTCTCTCTGTCTGTCTGGCGAGCGCACGCGCCCTATAGCGAAAAACTCTCCGGAAAAAAAAAAAAACTTCAAAGTAATATTGTAATATTTATTAATAAAAACTAGGAGTCTTAACTCACAAACAGGCATTCTCCATTCCCACCTCAGCTTGATCAAGAAATGAGATCAAGAATATTGAGAATATTGAGACAAAGGGATGAGACACAAATTGGACCACCTTGGAGAGTCCATTTCTGCCCCTTCTAACAGGTTAGCTGAGAACTGCCTCGAATGGGTTGAGCCGGTTTATAGAAAGACAGCAAGACCGAGCTGAGCTTTTCTGTCCTTCAGAGCTGTCCCAGATCAACAACATACAGACCTTGACCTTAGTGTGCAAACTCCCGAGCACGGTCTCTGGTTCCCGGCTCCCATCTTGCCTAATGCACATCTTGTTACTTTCAGAAACCAGGAGTTCCCTCACTCCTCCACTACGCTAACCTCTACCTGTGTGCCCAGGCGAGGGGACGGTGCCTACTTCTCTCACTCTCTGCAGATGTGCTTTCAGTGCACATTCAGTTTCCTGGTTAAGACAACCCCTCTATCAAGATCTTCATCAGGACGTGAATAGAACACCTATGCCAGGTCTCTTCTGGGGATGAGGGAGTCTGCATGTGTTTGAAAACTGTATCTTTTGTTATTTCTCTGCTTGAAAGTGTTTCTCTAGAAATTCTATGTTATATCTGCACCATGGAGTGCTGGTGATCCCTGCACTATTTGGATAAATACTATCCAAAGAATACAATTACAAAAACTACTTTCTGTAGCTGGTAGATATATAGAAGTGAGAAAAAGGAAGAGATACAAGGAATCAAGATGTTTCCTCTTACATCAGCTCTCTGTTCTTGTCTGAGGCCACAAAGGAGCTGAAGCTTACTTGCAGACTTGCAAGGGATATAGCACAGTAGGTTTAATAAATAGACGGAAGTTTAAAACCACAAATCTTCTCGAACATTCAACCCTGCTAGCTCACCCGCACTTAATTTCTTTTCTACAGTACCGTGTTGAGCTCTCTCTGGGTATCCATCAATGTCTGAAGAAGTTACTTATGCAGATTTGAAATTCCAGAATTCCAGTGAGAGGGAAAATATCCAGGTATTTTATAAGCTTGAGGAAAAAGGTAAGATTTTGAGCTATAAATGTATTGTAAGGTAAAAGTGGTTATAGCCCATACCTTAGATGTTAGTGAATTGACAGTGATATTGGTATCAATTTGAACTTTTAATTAAGCTTCCAATTTTGCCAAAGGTACCAAAAGTGCATGCAAAATTAATATAAAGGATTATTTTTAAATACTTCCCAGTTCATGACTCTGCATCTGTTACAAATTTTCCATGTTCTTTTCTTTTTTTTTTTTTTTTTTTAAAGTGCACTTAAGATAGGGCAGGATAGTCTTTTCAAATGATGGTTGCATGAAGAATTTTCCTTTCATGAGATGAAGCCATGAAATAAGAAGTGCACGTGTGTATGTGTGTATGTATGTGTGTGTGTGTGTGTGTGTGTGTGTGTGTATACTGTGTATGGTGTCTCTAAAAAGGAGAAAGACAGACAGTCAGAGACACCTTTAAAGTACTTTTATTTGCAATCTATCCATTTAGGCATCTTATAACGTAAAAATTATTTTACTTCCTTTGAAGTTTTTTACCCCAACTTACTAAAAAGTGCAAGAGACTAAGTTAAAGAAAAGGACTCGTTAAGAAATAAAGGAAGAAAAGGGGTTAATATTGAAAGATAAAATATTCAACCAAAAGCTTTGTGTTTTAATTTATTTTAAATTAAGCCATGATGTAAATGAACCATATGTGATGACTTTCATTTTATATTTCAACAAAAGCCTAGTATCTATTTTCCTCCTAAACTCATATTTATCCTAATGTGTACATTTCTTACTTCCTGGCTCCTAGATTTCTGGAGTTCTAGCGTTCGTAATGTATCCAACCTTGAAATCAGTGTGTTTGAGTTAAAAATGATATAAATGGCAGGCATGGAGAACACAGAAGTTTGATAGGAACCGTGGAATTAGGAGAGAAGGACAGAAGAATTCTCACGTGTAATCTGAGCGGTCGCCCCTGCCCTCCACACACACCTACACCCCTGGAACATCTTTGAAATTCTAGTTTTGCTATAAACAGAAATTTAATTGTTAGGCTTTGGAGTCATTTGTTATTAGCACTGTAAATCTTAAGGAAGGATAAGAGATGAATTCTGTGGGGTTTTCCTTTAAAAAACAAAAAAAAATTGTCAGGGGAGGACATGCACGCTCCCTGAGAAAGAAAGAGGGAACATGAGAAAGCACCCCGAATGAGGCATGAAATCTCTTTTTCCTCCATCTCTCCCTCTTTTGTGGATTTTGGGCACACAACACACACACACACACACACACACACACACACACACACAAACACACCTGTCATGTTTCTCAAGCCACTGAGTCCAGAATTCAAACTGCGCAGCTGGCTCTGTGCAATCCAACAGCTTCAACCACCATGCCCCAGTCTGGCCCAGGCTTTTCCTTTAATAGAGGGGTTTTTTGTTTGTTTGTTTTATTTTTACTTTAAGGATTTTATCATCTTTTCTGTATCTCTTTAGTCATTTTTATGGTACAAAAGAATGGACATACTGTTAAGTTCATATTACCAAAAATTCCCTTTATGTATCCCTTCATGGTCTTTCCTTACTAACCCACCCTAAACATTCCAACCCCAGGAATTCTTGGACTCCATGGAATCTTGAATTCATGTCTTATTTACTTCCTAATCTTGTCTAATTATCTCATTATTTAGCTTAGACTCTATTTTATGTAATATCCACGCTTACTTTCTTACACTTCCTACTTAAATGTACATTATCTTGTCCTTGAGAAACTCCAGTTCTGGTTAATCCCAAATATCCACCCATTCTGTGTCCCGCAGTAGAATATGGCTGGGAGAAAAATGTGCAGATTTCAAGCCCAGGTTTCTCTGATCTTTCCTGCTATGTCAGCCTGCACAGTTCTATCTCCATGCTACCATAACGTCATTCACATTCTGTGCGTTGCTTCCAGATGATACAAACTACCTGCTTACCGTTCTCAGAGGAGAGCCCTCCTCATCCTGTTCTGTCGGTGTGTTCTCAAAGACAGTCTTCTGTAAAATTCTCTTTTCTCTCCTGCCTTCTTAGTCTCGCTTCCTGCTCTAGTTGATGATCCTTCTTAGTTCACAGACACTAAGTTTCGTTTTGCTATGAAGAGAAATTTAATTGCTAGGCTTTGGATTCATTTGACATTAGCACTGTCAATCTTAAAGAAGGATAAGAGATGAACTCTGTGGGGTTTTCCTTTAAAAAAAAATTTTTTTAGGAGGGACATGTACTCCCTAAGAGAGAAAGAAAGAGGGAATGTGAGAAAGCACCCTGAACGGGGCGTGGTCGTACCACAATCTCTTTTCCAAAAAAAAAAAATTGTTAGGAGGGACTTGTACTCCCTAAGAGAGAAAGATAGAGGGAATGTGAGAAAGCACCCTGAACGGGGCGTGGTCGTACCACAATCTCTTTCCCCCATTTCTCCCTCCTTTACTTGACCACTTAAACCTCACTGTGGGTTGTTCTTTTCCCTGTTTCCTTCCACAGTTTAACTTTCTGGAAACATTACCTTTGATCACAGACTCCCAATTCTTCACCTCTCATTTTCTTCTCAACCAACCCTATTAAGCTTCTGCCCTCATTGTAATTGAGGTCTATTGTCTAGGTCTCTGGTGGCCTCCCTATTTCATCCCAATAGTTACATTTATTCCTTTTATTAATTCCCTGCAGCATTCACAAGGTCGAACGTTCCTTCTTCTTTCAACACTTCCTTGCAAGCACTCCTAGACTCATCCTCATGTTTCCCACAGTGGCTACTCCTTCTGTCTTCTTTTTTGACTCTTCCTCCTAGATCAAACTCTCCAAGATGGAATGTTCTAGAATTCTGTTCTTAGCCTCCTTTTCCTGTGTCACTCAATGTACTCTTAGCTGACTCATTCAGTCATTTGGCTTCATATACAATGACTCCCAAATATCTCTTCGAGACCTTTCCCTGGATCTCAAGAATAAGAAAATCCACTGCCTATTTTAAATTTCCGTACAAAATTCTAATTTTATTTTAAATTTAAAATGGCAAAATAGAACTATTTATTTTCTTCTAACATGGCTTCTTTTACCTAGTCATCTTCATCTCATTAGGTATGAACAGATCAATAAATACACTTTTAAATACAATTGCCAAACGTTGCTATGTTCCAGCAGTATTCTAATTAAATTATAAATGCTAAGTCATCTAATCTCTGGTACTTCATGGTCTTTTCTTTCCTTTTTTTCATTTTTTTAACCAATGCAAAAACAGAGACATGCAGAAGCTGAATAACTTGCTCAAGATCCTACAAGTGATAAGCAGCAGAATTAGGACTCAAAATCAAGTGTGTTAGCCCTTCAGACTGTGTGGTGCTTTTTATCACAATGAGATGCTATTTTATTATCTACCAACTTTGTCAAGTCAAAAACAACTAATTAAATGTTTTTGACTTATTCTTCTAAAATATTTTTAAATGCCCTTGAGTTTCTAGCCTATCACATCTCTTTACAAGAGACATGTTAGGGAAGAAATAAAGGCAAACTGAATGGACGCTCAGATGGACAAATACAAAATTAAGATTACTGCAGATGCTATTTCCAGGCCTCTTTGTTCATTTTGCTCTTCACAGCACCTCCTGCCCCTTCTTATGTATGGCGTCAAAGAGCCTTGTGTCTCACCCTTCTGTGCCTTCTGCTGCTCACTGCGTTGGGAGTCTTAGCAAGCATGTGTAAGTATTACCCCTGCATGATTGAAAGAGAAAGCTCCTAGACTTTTACAAATGTCACAAGCAACGTCTCCCCTTTGAATTGAGGCTTTGTAATAATGGTGGGAGACATACCCAGAAAAAGGACTTATAATGTGCCATTTAGTGTATTCCCCACATTCTTGTAGAATAATTGCTTCCCCATCCCTTTAATACTCTTAATACCACTTCTGAAGAAAACTACAGAACGAGTGGTGGTTCTATTTTATCATCTCTCTCTCTCTCTCTCTTTGTTTTTAATATGGAGTTTATGTAACTTTGAAGATAGAAATGGAAAAAACAAATGAACTACAGAATGTCAAAGAAGAACTACAGAGCAATATTTCTCTTCACCTGATGAATATTACAGATAGCTCCCAGAAGATCAGGAATCTCTCCATCACACTGCAAAATATAGCCACCAGGTTATGCTATGAGCTATATAAAAAAGAACCAGGTAATCTTGTATTGCTTGTGGAGTTATTTACTAGCCAATGAATTAAACCTTAGAATTACTTAAGAATCGTTTCATCATTAGGCAGCAAACTTTCCCTAGGGTACCATTATTTGGGGAAGGATTTAAATGTGATTGACAGAGGGCTCATTGGTATTTGCATGTAGTCAGAAGAATAACAGAAAAAGCGACAATAACTAGAATATCAGAGGGTGACAGTTACACAGTAAGATATCCGAAAGCAGGAAGTCTCTCTAAGCTGTCACCTTCTACTGTTTCCAGGCACTGAGGTCAATAGAAGGGAAGAACGAAAGGACACCTCCAGATTGGTGACCTCCTTCCTAAATTTCAGTCAATGATTGATGGCACAGAGCCCATGGACAAAAATTAAACTGAGAAAAGCCATCTTTGTTACCAGTTGAGTTGGGGAAAGTTGGCTTCATAACACATACATAAGATTCTGTACTCATCGTACCTAAAACATGTCCTTACGCTCTCAAATACTCGACAAGTCAGGCAGCTAAAGAGCTCTAGGTGGAGAAGACAGAATTCGTGCAGGTGTGGAGCTGGTTCTTACCATGCAGAATGTCTACTGTGACTAGTTTTTATTGCCATGAATAAAAATTTTAAAAATGACAGGGATTAATCACGTTTCCTGATGTAGGAAGATACGCTTGAATTTAAGTGCTTAATTTGAAAGTTATGTTCAAGTTATCTGTCAAACACATTATAATGGCATATAAGGATCTAGAATACAGACTCTGGGCCAACAAGCAGGGTGGTTAAGGTGCTAGATATGACACGGCCAACTGCATAGTTTGAGTCCCAGACCTGGTGACTTGAAAAACATGCTGGGCATGTGTGCATGAGTGCCCGAAATCCGAAGAGAAAAACTGAGGAGAAGGGATTGTGGTGTGGCCATCCCCTGTGGAGGGTACCTTCTCACTTTTCTTCTCTTTCTGTCTTTCTCCAGTGAGCACATATGCTTTATAGTAAAAAAAACTAAAGTGAAAAAAATATATAGACATTATTTTCTTTCTTTTTTTTTTTTGGAGCGGTTTTCACTCTAGGGTGCGTGCGCTCGCCAGACAGACAGAGAGAGACACAGAGACAGATGGCGAGAAATCACCCCCCAGGGGGGATGGTCACGCCGCAATCCCTTCTCCTCCATTCTCCTCTCGGGATCTTGGGCACACACGCACACGTGCCTGGCGTGAGTTTTAAGCCACCGGGTCCGGGATGTGAACCGCAGTCGACTATGTGGGAGTCCAGCGACATAGCCATTATGCTAACTGCTGGTTCCCGACATTATTTTCTTTCTATTTGATAAAAAAGAAAAATCACAGGGGCCAGCAGGTAGTGTGGTGGTTAGGGCACTGGACTCCCACATGACTGATTGTGGTTTGAGTCCCGGATCTGGCAGTTTGCTTTCTCACTTTCCTTCTCTTTCTATCCATCTCTGATTGAATTAAAATAAATAAATAAGTAAATAAAGTTAAATAAAATAATTATTTTAAAGAAAAGAAAAACTAGAGTAAATTTGGTCGATACCACATGGAGAGTAAAAAAAAAAAATAATAATAGACATGATGAAGGCTATGAACACAAACCTAATGAAACTGTTCTTCTTGCAGAGCACAAATGTAAACCTTGTCCAAAGAATTGGAGGTGGCACAAGGATATGTGTTATAGTCTAAGCAGTGAATTACAAACATGGCAAGAGAGTGAAGTGATCTGTTCTGGTCAGAATGCCAGCCTGTTGACGATTAAGGACAAGAGTGTGTTGGTGAGGCCCCATGTCTCTCTGCCATTGAGAAGGGATACCACTTTTCCCATCATGAAATAGAAAGGAATGGGGCATGTTGAGGAAGGCCTCCGTCATCCCACTCATGACTGTGGCTTATTGGTTAGAATGTGAGGTGACAGACTTTACGCATGTATGTCAGAATACCAATAGCCAATGTCAATCACACAGTTTAGGACTTCAGCTTCAGTGGAATCTTGGAAGTTAATGGGCAGGTGGGTAGATGTGGGCACCCAGAGTCTTCAGGTCTGTGAGCATTTCCAAGTTGGAACTCTGGAATCAAATCTGAGAACGTGATTTCTGAACATTAATCTAAAAACAAGATCTACTCCAGCCATGACAGTGCATACTGCTAAAATCAGAGGATTTGGAGATTAGTTCAGAGGGTACCAAGTCCATGAGCGCTCTATAGGAGGGTAGTCTGTGCTTCCATCATTTAGATTTTTTTTAATTAAATGAAAGAAAAAGAAAAAAACACACACACAAGTACAGATACATTGCCCTGAGTCTTTGGGTCCCAAGAAAAGTGAGTTTTCTGGTAACTATTTTCTCTTTTCTCGTGATAAATAACATCTTCATATCTCACTTACTACTTAGTATTTATGTTCTACTGGCTAGTAATAATATATTTTAAGTAAAATTGTATTTTCCTGAATATCTCAGCTTCCCTACCATAGTTTGTTGTCCTTCATCGATGGGGAGCATCTAAGAATGACCGCTTCATCAGATCACTCTGAAATGACCCATTCGGAGTCACTGTTCAAACATTTTTGTAACACATCTGGAATTAGGAAAAAAAAACACAACTGATATTTTAGCTCCAAAATTCTGGGGTTGCTCTGAATCCTATTGTGTAAAAACCCTTATCTGACTTTGCTGTTTTTTCTACTCTTTGTTTTTATTAACTCTTTTTTTTTTTTGGAGAGGTTTTTGCTATAGGGCGTGTGTGCTTGCCAGACAGAGAGAGACAGAGAGACAGAAAGCAAGAAATCACCTCCCAGGGGAGATAGCCACGCCGCAATCCCTTCTTCTCCATTTTCCTCTTGGGATCTTGGGCACGCGCGCACATGCGCACACGTGCTCGGCGTGAGTTTAAGCCACCAGGTCTAGGACTTAATCCGCGGTCAACTACATGGGAGTCCAGCGACATAGCCATTACGCTAACTGCTGGTCCCTTATTTTTATTAACGCTTGTTTGCTGTCATTCAGTACTTCCTTTGTCCCTGGATTGACTATTTACTAATCAAGTATTTAAATCCTGAAACGTAAAGTTTCAGTGACCTAAATTAAGGTTCTACGTGGATTAATTGGTAGATCCTTTCTCCTTGGTGCGAAAGAAAGTGAAACCATGAAAATGCTGAAATCTTATAGTAAAAAGCACTTTTTTTTCATTTTCTTTGATGACCCTGAAAAGCAGTAATACCACGTGAAAAGAAAGCGTACCTTAAAACAATAATTTCTAATAAATTATATTGTAAGATAATGCACAGAATCAGAAAACACTTTTAAAACTGACCATCACCATTTCCTACAGGACTTTATAAAATCACTAAGCTCATACCACTACTGGCTGGGATTATCTCCCAAAAAAGATTATACATACGTTAAGAACTTGGGTGAGATAATTAATTCCTCTGATTGGTAAGTCTATTCTTATTGAACTTTTATAGTAGGGTTTGACAAGAGGTATTTTCTTTAAGACATGTAGATTTCATTTAAAATCAGTTTCAATAGAAATTGTGTACTTACAGAACCCTTCTATCAAGCTTATTTGATGTTTAATAATGCAAGAAGTTGCCACAAATGACTTACTCTTTTTACAGGTTGCTAATGAACTTGTAGTAGCCAAATCTGGGAGAATTTCAGTAAATAATATTTTTATCTAAGAAAATCGTGGAAATAAAAAAATTCCCTGTACTCCACCAAGTATTTATAACTGTGTTAAATTCTGAGATTCAAAGATGAAAGATTGATTTATTCTAAAGTTACTTAACCACCAAGTGTATGTTGATGGTTATGCAAACTGACAGACTAATTCTGAAGATAAAAGGAACACAGTGTAATAAATGTGCAGTAATAAGACGCAGTATAACTAAAAATAAATTTCATCTTTGAAATTTTTGTTATAACTGACATTTGAAATAAGCATTTTTTAAAATAATTATTTTAACTTTATTTTATTTTTTAAAAATTTGACCGGGGAGGGGGGAGAGAAAGAGAGAGAGAGAGCAAGCCTCCAGGTCCCAGATTTGAACCACCATTGGCCATGTAGGAGCCCAGTACCCTGAACCACCACACCACCTGCTAGCCCTGAAATAAATATTTTTAAATGGCAAATTTAGTCTAACTAGAAGAGCACTTCAGGTCAAAAGAATAAAATGAACTTTGGCATGATATATAGTCTACACAAGACAATTGTTGTGTAATGCATTTTGAAAAAGGATTATAAATACATGATTATAAATGGGTGCATATGTTCTGCTTATAATTGGAAAAATTAAGACTTTACATGTATATAAAATTTCCATTTGCTGGACTAGCAGTTAGTGTAATGGCTATGTCGCTGGACTCCCATGTAGTCAACAGCGGTTCAAGTCCTGGACCCAGTGGCTTAAACTCATGCTGGGTGTGTGTGCATGCGTGCCCAAGATCCCGAGAGGAGAATAGAGGAGAAGGGATTGCGATGTAGCCATCCCCCCTGGGGGGTGATTTCTTGCTTTCCATCTCTCTGCCTTTCTGGCGAGTGCACGCGCCCTATAGCAAAAACCTTTAAAATTTTTTCCGTTTGCATTTTTTCGAGAGATTTTTGTGATAGGGTATATGCGCTCACCAGAGAGACAGAAAGTAAGAAATCACCGCCGCGTCCCCCCCCACCCCCGCCCGGGGATATGGCCATGCTGCTATTCCATCTCCTCTATTATCCTCTCAAGATTTTGAGCACACACACACACACATGTACCTGGAGTCAGTTTCAAGACTCAGGTCCAGGACTGGAACTGTGGTCAGGCATGTGGGAGTCCAGCGATGTAACCATTACACCATCTGCTGGTCCTCTATTTGCATTTTATAATCCCTGAAAAATCAAACAATATAAGACTAAAGAAAGAAATCAGAGTGTGAACCTGCAGATACTATTGGAAACATACATTGTTTGTTTTGTTTTGTTTTGTTTGCTTTTTATTCAGGTTGAAACAGTTAATTGTGGGAGTATGGGTCAGAACAAGGGAGTGTCATCTTTGAGGATTGACAGTGATAAGACGGAACGAGGCATGAGACAGCATATAGAAATGGAGGGGAGAAGGATATATATTTTGAAGACCTGGAACAGTGTTTGATATTGCATACGTATCTAAATGCAGTTAGCTTGGACATTCTTAATACTGTGAACATTAATTCTAGTGTACCTTAAGGCAGAGCAGGCCCCAGGAATGATAATGTCATGTAGACAAAGTAATTTTTTTTGCAAATGTGTTTCAAATATCTAACTTGCTACATTTACTTTTTGTTTCCTTTTAGAATGATTTATTTAATTTTATTTATTATTATTACTTTTTAAAAAATTTTGAAATAGGGTATGCACTCTCACTAGAGAGAAATGGGGGGGGGGAGTGAGAAACCTTCAGGTTCAGGGATTGAACCACAGTCAGCCATGTCAGAGTCTCATGCCATCACATCACCTGCTGGCCTCACTAATTCTTTATTTTCACGTTTAGGTTTATTGGAAACACAGATCACTCAAATAAGAAGTTTTGTGGATATATATATGGAATGAACGTTTATTATGCTTACTGCATGGGCAGAAAAGGATACATATGTGAGAAGATGGCCGATTCGGTGAAGACTGAAAGTACACTGACGAATGAAGTTGAAGATGGAAGTTAGGGTGACGATTTTGCTTCAGCTGAGAGTCTGCTTGAAGGCAACTTTAGGGAGCTTGCATCTCCTGGACCACACCGAAGGAATAAAAATACGAACTATCTGCTTCTGTCCTGGCATTATGTCTTCCTACTTTCTTCTTCCTCCTCACTTGTGGAATAAAAGGAGCCCAAAGTTACACCTTGTGATCTCGGTACAGCCCAGCTACTGCACCATGCAGTGTTTCCTGGTGAGAACACGGGAACAGAAAGCTGATATTGTCTCTGCTTTTCCAGAAATAAATAAGAAAATTTCACTTTCATTTAAAAAATCAGGGACCAGCAGTTAGCGTAATGGCTATGTTGCTGGACTCCCGCGTAGTCGACCATGGTTCGTGTCCCGGACCCGGTGGCTTAAACTCACGCCGGGTGTGTGTGAGTGCGGGCTGAAGATCCCGAGAGGAGAACGGTGGAGAAGGGATTGCGGCGTGACCATCCCCCCTGGGGGGTGATTTCTCGCTTTCTGTCTCTCTGTCTCTCTCTGTCTGGTGAGCACACGCGCCCTATAGCAAAAGCCTCTCCAAAAAAAGAAAAAAACCATCAGAGAAAGTCAAATCTAAGAATATACAGAGAGGATAACATATCATGTCCAATTGGGATTTATTTTAGTAATACAAGTATAGGGAACAAAAGTTTCAAAGATGTAGTAATGTTAGAATAAGTATAGTATAATAATTTCAGGTGGCGATATTCCATAGGAACTCCTGCAGAATTCAAAAGTTCCAAAGCAATAATATATGTTCTGGTGGGAAAATCACTAGCATCATTAAGAAGCTCACCAATGACTCTCCTTTGGAGGCCAGCAATGATGACAGTAGAAGTGATGACATAACTGAGTTAACTAGTAATAAAGGGAGTGATGGGGACCAGAAGATGGCATAATGATTACATTGCTGGACTCCCATATAGTTGACCATGGTTCAGTACCTGACCTGGTGGCTTAAAACTCATTCTGGGCATGTGTGCCCATAATTCCAAGAGGAGACTAGAGGAGAAGGGATTGTGGTATGGCCATCCCGCCTGGGGGGTGATTTCCTGCTTTCTGTTTCTCTGTCTTTCTCTGTCTCCCTGGCAAATACATGTGCCCTATAGCAAAAACCTCTCTAAAAAAAATAAATATAAATAAATAAATAAAGGCAATAACGATACCATGCTGACACTACAGAGTCAAAATCATGGTCCATCCAGTCTGTTTTTCTAGGGACCTATGGCCATGTACCTTGATAATCATACTTTGGATCTAAGGACTAAGCAAACATTTTGATGACTATCTAATGTGTGATGGCAATTAACATTGATGGAGGCCAGGACCAACAGGTGGCATAATGGTTGTGTCGCTAGACTCCCAAATAGTCGACTGCGGTTTGGGTCCCAGATCTGGTGACTTAAAACTCATGCTGAGTGAGGGTATATGCATGTCCAAAATCCCAAGAAAAAAATGAAGGAGAAGAGATTGCAGTGTGGTCATCCCCCTGGGGGATTATTTCTCACTTTCTGTATCTGTCTCCCTGTCTCTACGGTGAGCGCACATGACCTATGGCATAAACCTCTCTTAAAAAAATTTTTTTTGATAGTTACTAGCAGGTAGCATAATGGTTAAGGTGCTGGACTCCCACATGGCTGTCCATGGTTTGAGTCCCAGACCCAGCAGCTTAAAAATCACACTAGACACATGTGTGTGCATGCCCCAAATCCCAGGAGAATGAAAAAAGGGGAGAAGGGGTTGTGGTGTAGCCATCCCACCTCCCTTCCCCACTTTGGCCCTGGGGAGGTGATTTCTCACTTTCCCTCTCTCTCTCTATAGCAAGCATATGTGTCCTAGCACACACACACACACACACAAATTGATAATCAGCCTCCTAAGGAATCTCATCATCATGATCACTCTGTTAAAAGGAGATGAGATACAGATCCTAAATGGAACCCTGGACAAGAAAGTCCCCGCTCAGTGTACACCCATGGACTCCGTATTAAAGTCTCTGTATGTATTATTGGAATATATACATTCTAGTTTTCATAACTTTGAAGAGGAGAGCCTGATGCCAGGTCTACACAGTTAACCTCCCCAACCACCAGAGTCATGAGTCAATAAAGCTCTGTCTTTAGAAATCACTCAGTCTTTGAGGTGCAAGGGCAGGCAACATTTGACAGATTGGAAAATGTAAAGTTTACTGTTGAATTAAATTTTAAAAAGAAAGAGAGAAATCACTGTCTTAGAAATTTCTGTTAGCAACTCAATACACAGTAGTAAAAACTCCAAAGGTCCATTCTCGCTTCAGAGTTCTACCTGGAACTACTGAGGCCTTCATCAAGAATGCATTACATCCCAACTTCCCCTCCTGCTTCCTTCCATTTTCTTCAACATGTGGTATTACTGAGAATGTTCTCTAATAAACCTTCATCATGGTCATCTTGATTTCTGAATTTGCTTCCTGGTAAACCAAGCCTGTAAAAGTTGCTGACAAAGCTATACCAGGCCTCGTCAAGAGGAGATGAAGAACATATCCTTAGATTATGAAATGCTGTATCTTGGGGATGTCAAATTAGATTTAATGCCATTCCTCAAAGAGTTTTTTGAAAAGTGCATGCTAATTCTAAAATTAACATAGCAATTCTTAGGATTTAGAACAGCCAAGACAATGTACGTACAAATAAAGGAAAAGAAAAAAAAATGAGAGAGGACCAGCTGGTAGTGTGGAGGTTAATGCAGATGGATACAGCATGGCCAGCTTTTCAAGTTCTCGGGCCAGGCTACTTGAGAAATACAGTGAGTACTCGTGCATGCTCAAAAATCCCAAGAGGAGAATGGAGGAGAAGGGACTGTGGAGTGGCCATGTCCCATAGGGGTGGGGGGAGAAAGTAATTTCTTGCTTTCCCTCCCCCTCTCTGTCTGGGTAACTTATAAACAACAGATCACTGTTCACATCAGGGTTAACTATCGGCGTTGCACATTCTGTAGGTTTGAACAAATCTACAATGACGTGTATGCACTATTTTTGTATCACACAGAGCAGTTTTAGTGCCCTAAGAAAATTCTCTGTGCTCCATGTATTTACCGTCCTCTCTCCTGTACCCTCCAACAAACACTGATCTTTTACCGTCCCCACAGTTCTGAATCCTTTGTAGTTTTCCTCAGGTGGACCTTGTATGTGCTTTGCTAGATTTCCACCTATTTCAGTTTTTGAAGTACTGGGGTAAATGATATATTGCACTTCAAATTCCACTTGCTTGCTGCCTGTAATAGGAAAATGGTTGACCTTCGTATGTCAACCTCTTCTCCTACAACCTTGCTATAATTGCTTCTTATTTCCAGTAATTAAAAAAAAAATCAATTTTGGAGAGGCTTGTTTATATACAATCATGTTACCTGCAAACAAAGGTATTTTTCTTCTTTCCTTCCCAGTCAGTGCACATCTTATTTCGATCTCTTGATTTATTGCATTATGCAGGGCTTGCAGTACAGTGTCGTAAGGAAATGATGAGAGAGGGAGTCCTCGCTTTGTTCCTGATTGTAGTGGGAACACTCTTATTTTCTCACCACTGAGTAAACGTTAGCTGTAGGTATTTTGTACATATTCTTTGTCAAATTAAGGAAGTTCCCCTCAATTCCTCATTTACTGACAATTTTTACCATGCATTGGGGTAATTGAATTTTGCTGACTGGCTTTCTGCATCTATGGATGTGATCATGTGATATTTTAGTATTTAGGGAAATTGATCCAGTTCATCTAGATTATTAACTTACACCTTCTCTTTTTCTTAGCCTGGTTAGAGACTTAGTAATTTTATTTATCTTGTTAAAAAAAACTAGGTTCGGGTGTTGTTGATAATCTCCACTGATTTCTTATCATCAACTTTATTGATTTCTGCTCCAATGTGTATTTTTTTTCTTCTGCTTAGTTTGGATTTATTTTGCTCTTCTTTTTCTAGTTTCTTAAGGAAAAACTTAGATTACTGATTTTAGGTCTTTCTTCTTTTCAAATATATGCATCAAATGCTTTTAAGTTCCCTCTAAGTGCTGCTTTCTGTACATCCTACACATTTTGATATTTTATTTTGCGTCTAGTTCAAAAACTTTTTAGTTTCTTCTGAAAAACCTTTTTTGGATAAGATAGTTTTGAGTTGAGCCAGAGTAGATATAAATCAAAGCACCAGAATTGAGAGTACATGAAGAGATTCATGTTTTCAAAGTTACCTAATATATTAAAAAAAAAATCATGACTGCAACTAGAAAGAGTTGTCTTCTACATAAATTTTCTCAAGAAGCAGGACTGAACCACTGGATATCTGCACGGACAAAATGGAATTTGCTATCTACTTATATAACCATTCATTTCAAATGCATCGTAGAGAAAGAAAGAGTCATAGAGTCAAATTTCATTTATAGTTTTCTATCTGGCTACTCTGAAAAATTTGTGTTTTACTTTAAACAAATTATTCCTAGCCCAAATGTGTTACAGCTCACTTATAATTCAGAACTCTATTCCACAGGTTTTGCCTGTTGCATATATCATGATGTGGAGGTACCATTTTTTTTCCCCACCTGAAAAAAATAACTTCCCTATCACCGTAGTCAGAAAACTTTTTCCCTTCATCACGTTTCTACAATAAAATTCTTTATATATTCATTTTGCTGTATGCATGGATTTGTCTCTAGGTCTCCTTTGATAGATTACATATTTATGTATCCTGCTGGCTTTATTGTTATTTTGCTCTCTGGTAGCACAAATTCATCTGTTATGTTTTTGCTATTGAGCCTTCACAAGAGGGCTATTCTTTGCTTCTTACCATTCTGTATTTTTTTTTTCCTTAGTCTTTGTCTTTATTTGCATTGACAAAGCTTTTTTTTTTATTGTTTTGCCCCAGTTAGCTTGTTAGTGTTCTATATACTTCTATCATTCTTTTTTATTTTTTAAATTGTATTATTATTATTATTGTATACATTCAATTGTATACATCATTTAGCTTGTAGAGAGAGAATTTACCCAACATGAAATACACCTCAGACCAGTCCAGTTGAGAATATTATACACATCATCATCCACAGGTAATAAATTATTTCTATGTCCCACAAATGTCTACTTCTTTATTTTTCTCCCTAATTTCCTCCCCTACACTCTTCCCCTCTCCCGCCCTCCTT